TTAGTTTACTTTTTTCTGCAATCTTCATCTTATACAACTCAAATACACACATAACAATAATAACGAGTTCAAGGTGGGCATGAAAAATGTCCCTCTTGCTCACCCAGTTTGGTTTTGATGGCCTCCAGGATGCTGTCTGAGTTGCAGAGCATGCAGGGCGTTGTTGTGCAGATCTGAATGAAGTATTTTCCCACGGGTTGACGCAGGAACATCGTGTAGAAGGTCGCGACCTCGTACACTCGCATCGGAGCGATTTCCAGCACTTCAGCCACCTGAATCAAAATAATTACATATTTCATAAGAAATGTTATCAAACAGATTCAAACTTGGATTAAGCAGCTGTAAAAACACATTTGAGGAGAATCACGGTGCCTTGTTCATGGCGGCGACGGGGAGCCATCCGTGCTGCCGCTGGGCCACGTCCAACACGGGGAGGGTGGCCGCCTGCTTGTATCCAATAGGGTAGTTAGAAATGATCGCATCAATCCTCTACAGGGGAAGAAAGAAAAGGACATTTCACCATGAATGTTGTTTAGAATAACAATTGCTTAAATTTGCCTTTACTTCAACAATTGCATCAAATGTAATCTTTTACCGTGTGCTAGTTTTAAAGCTTTACCTGCACAGATATTTACAAAAGATGCACCGATATATGGATTGACATCAGCTTTTAAAAGTTAAATGAAGATCATTTAAAAAACTAGAGATAGGAATGTATATATTAAAACATTGTGCTAAATAGATTGTCTGACTGACTGAAACTAGTTTATGAGGCTGACTAAAAAGGAGTCTTTCGTACATTAATTCGTAACAGAATAACACTCATGATCATTTCAAAAACTAGAGATAGGCATGTCTAAGAACCTGAACTTGTATTTGTATTAAAGACTAACATAGACTCATAACAAAACTGCCTAATACAGGGGGGGGGGGGGATGTCAGATGTAGGTAGGTACATGACCTAAATGGCTCAACACAGATGTCACCCCTACCTTTAAGTTCTCCTCAGTGAATTCAAAAGGAGTATCTGCGTTGTTGTCAGGAGTATCTCTGTGCTAAAAAAGAAAGAAAAAATACATTGTTAACATTAATTACACTAGAGATACAATTATCCATGTCAACCATTTTATTTGTAATCCCGTTTAAATATGTGAAGTTGCTATTATGGGAGACATGTAACATGTTTCCAGTGAGTAACAGACATAAGCATTATGTCATAGTATTTGATAAAAGATGAACAACCTATCATGTGAGCCCCCATGGGAAAACAGGTGTTGCTCTCAGACTGTTGAAAAGACTCAACACAGATAATCACTATTTCGGCTTCTGCACACACTGCCCCCTTGCGACTAGTCTTTGTGCAAAAAGGACACAAATAAAACCTTCAAATGTCATGGACTTGAAGTAAGAAATGGTCAGAAAACAATATTCCCAATTGAAGAGCAGTCAAAGACAAGTCAGCCAAAACAACTTTTCCCATTAACATACGGAAAACTTCTTTACTATCCGGGGACAATGAAACCATGGCATGTTTCCATTACATCAAAATATTACATGTGATGTTTTCCTTGGATAGCATGGCTCTAATAGGCTCTGAAGTGTTTGGAAAACATACTGCTTAGTCATCCATTCATTACATTTATTTTATCTACTCATCTTAAATTAAATACAAATAATTTGAACACCTGTAAATGACATTTCTAAAACTTGACTCGCTTGTGAAAGATGTGTAAACACACAGGAGTTAAACAGGCACATTTCATAAGGAATAATGAGGTTGTATGAACAATACAACTTAAATCCAAGAAAGTTGGTTTTGATTTCCTACTATTGTTCGATAAATAATAAAGATAAACAAGATTAATAACGCATTTTCAAACCGTAGATAACATGTGTTTAAAACTATATTCCACATGTTAAATTAACATAATAATAAATAATGGACTGATGCTTTGAGATGATAGTGTTGGTGTATATGATCATGTGCACAGTCTCTATTACAGCTGCGATGCGGTTATGGAAGGCCACAGAAAATTGCGATAAGGACAACTAACTGTGAAACAGGAAGACAATATTGCACATTTTTCTGAATGTATCAGGAAGTCCAGAAAATGGTATTGTCTATTTTAGTGGTCCATTAGTGTAAAAGTAAAAGTATGAACTAGAAGTCCGGCAGTGGCACAGTCAGTAGGGGCTTGGACTGTGAGCTGTAGGGTTGCCGGTCCAAGTACCCCACCAGACCTACAAATGGAGTGTGGACTGCTACTTGGAGAGGTCCCAGTTCACCTCCTGCCCTGCCGTGGTGACCTTGAGCAAGGCACCGGACATCCCCCTTCCCCCCTCACTCCCATTGCTCCCTGGGCACTGTACAATAGCTGCCCACTGCTCCTAGTATTAGACTCCAGCACACACAGTGACAACAAATGTCACTGTGTGTGCTGTGTGCTCTGCATGTGTGACCATTAAAGAGGGTTTCATCCCTCCCATTCGATTCTAGAAACTAGAAAAGTGGTCCCTGATTTAAGAATGGGAAAAAACCTGTTAGCCAGAATTAAAAAACGATTTATATTGTGGCCCAATTAACTAAACTCCAGGACGTATTTAGCAGGTTCTGGCTGAAGCACAAAGACAAGCTAACAATAACCCCATAAGCTCTTGGCTACCTGTGATGCACCATTGCCAGTGCAACAATGCAAGCTTATTAAAAGGTGTTAAACCGACATTAAACAATTCATCCGGACTACACAAGACTGGTTGGCGTAACTCACCACAAAGACGCCTCCAGCTCCTGCACGCGCAGCGGACTGATGCAGACTCCTGACCTGCCTGGCCTGCACGCACAGAGAGAAAGAAGATACATCAAATACCTGGTGGTGTGTCAATTCATATGTTCACTCCCCAGGGTCAAGGACATGTCTCACTTTAGACCACCTGAAAGAACTAGTAGATGGAAAAGGTAATGTTTATTCCTTAAAGACAATGTGTAAATAACAACTTTAACACAATGATCAGGCACACTAAAGATAATATCTGAATGTGCTTTTTGTATTGAAACATCATATCCTAAGAAACCATCACACATACATATAGCATACGCACTGGTTTCTAAAAAGGTAAATGTCTAAATAAATTATACTCACATGTAACAACAACTGTGTCCTTTTTATAATTAACTTTAATACATTTAAGCAGGAGAAATACAGGTCATAAATGAGTAATAATTTGATACATTAATTACATCTTCATAGGTCACTCATTAATATATATTAGATAATCATAAAAGAATACAGGGCTCACTAAGTTTCATAATGTTTAGACAAGGTTATTTCAGTTTTGTATGAGACAAATACATCTAAAAATAATAAGTCATAACTTTATGAGTATTAACAAATCAAAACATGTTATGCTAAACATAAAAGCCAAGGCCAGACAACTTAGTGTATTGTAGTTTAACATACTGACACTGTTTAAATCTTAACTGATTTAAGTTACACATCTTTGTTTTGCAATTGTTCTAATAATTGTTAATGTATGTTAAATTAATTAAACAACTCCCAAAAAAAACGTTATATAAGTAACTGTGATGGGGATTTTGCCATGTTGTGCAACTACATAATCACACACACACACACACACACACACACATACAGCTAAATTACCGTTACGTGTCACAGTGTTGTCTAACACTTAAATAATATATATTATTTTCAATGTCCATGAGGATATTCGCAGTCAATGTGCAATCACACATGTCTAGAGTAGGCTTTTTTTTTTGCATTACTGATGTTGTCCTAAGATCACCTTGTAAATGTCTGACAGCAGAAAGCTAAGTGAGCTAGCATGCTAGTTAGCTTAGCGGCTTCCACTGCTTGCCCTTGTGAGAAGTCATGGCTTTTTATCTTCAAATGATTAATTAGGCATTCACACGTTTACCCAGAACCATATAGAAAGTCACACACATACCGTCTGCGAAACTGCAGAGCGAAATGCAGCAGCCAAAAACATCTTGGAGCTTGAAGTCTGGTCCCGGTGTTTTACCAAATGGACGGGACAGCAGCAGCCGAAATCAACACAAGCGTTTTTACGCTCGATTGAGAGGGTCTTACGTAAAACGCAACGTCATACGTCAGACCGCTCGAAACTAAATCGATCCCAGATTGAAATTTGAGATTAAAAAACAAATGATGACAACCGAGCCATTTTCACATTTGTTATATAACCCGAGTGGTGGCTCACGTTGCATGTTTACCAGCGTTTCCAAGGGCAGATTGTTTGAAGCATAAACATATGAAATATTTGTCATTACTAGTTTTGATATAATGAAATGTCATATATTATAAAAATGAAAATATTAATATTTGAAATGATAACTTTGAGATAACATGCAACACATTGTAGTTTTTGCCATGTTTCTTTCTTCTTTTTGTCTAGTGAAATTCAACTGTCCAATTTCTGTCATGCTCTCGCATATTAAATACAATTTATCATAACCAAAATATGAAACACATAAAAAAAGGAAGTTTATTACACTTAATGTAAACATAAAATATGTAGGCCTATATGTAACAAAAGTTAAGCAAGGGTTATAGTTTGACATGGCCTATAAATATGGACGCATACAATACTTTAGATATTTCAAGAGCATTTAGTGGCATTGCCTTGAGGATGAGGGATTTTGTTTACTTGCTGTCGGTGAACTAAATGCTGTTACCTCTCTTGCTATTTTCCCAGAGAACCAATCAGCCCCCCTGTCAAATCAAACCATCCTGTGTTGGCATGAATCCATCCCAGCATTCATGGTGCTGCTGCACACACTCCTCCTCCACCTCCTTGCTTGGTTAAATAATGCGATCAACAGGCCAGGGGGGGCTCAACCAATGAAAAAGTGGGAGTGCTGAACCGTGCAAGCTGATTGGCTGTCCTGGCCCTAAACAGACTGTGAGCGAGCCTGCAGATCGGGGATTAGAGGTGGGTCTCTATGCATGCTGAAAAGTGTTGCTTCTGTAGAGGAGGCCTTGTAGTCTTCTTACTCAGGAGGATACAGACAGATCAACAGTGACTCCAGATTAACCCACTTTCTCACTGTCCCTCAGATGATATAGGCCAGTCTGCATCTGTCTCCACAATGGTTGTTCCTGAATCCCAGGAAAAAATGTACTACCCTCCTGATGACCTGAAGAGGGATGCTCATGTACCGGATTTTAACTCCTATCTGGCCCTGTACAGGAAGTCTCTTGAGAATCCAGAAGGTAGGTCAGACCGGCTTGTATTTTTAGTGCAGCGCTTACAATGTTTCCATGTATGCACCTCCCTGAGAGATAACTGTAAGCATGATCCCTGTGTTCAGTCTGTAACACTGACATTAAACATCACGTTCTTTCAGCTTTCTGGAAAGAGATTGCAGATGAGTTCTTTTGGAAGAAGCCAGCAACGGGACCATTGCTGCAGTACAACTTTGATGTGACTAAAGGGAACATTTATGTCAAATGCATGGAAGGGGCCAAAACCAACATGTGCTATAATGTCCTGGACAGGCTTGTGAAGGAGAAGAACTTTGGTGAAAAGGTTGCCTATTACTGGTAAGTCACAATGTTTGTCCGCCATGAATGATGGCTTGGATGGGAAATACTGCCTGGAGTTATGTCAGCAACTGTTGTGTCCTGCAGTGTGCCAAAGCAAACCTCAGCTCGTGCCAGTGCTTTAATGTTTCAATCCAACTAAGGACATTTAACAGGATCTATTGTAAAAACATGACCAGATTGCATATGCTTTTGTAATTACACATTTTATAATCTTGCATTTCAGCAGATTGTCCTGTTGCACTCACAAAAACAAGCCGTTTAGTGTTTAATCACTTGGATCTTGCCCAAATCCTCCCATATAAAAAGGTCAAATAAGAGCCTAATGGATTGTTTTCTGCATATAACTGTTTTATTTTTGCAATGTTTTGCATATGAGCTCAAAAATAGTTTGTTTGAACAATTACAAGCTTCCACTAAACTCTTTAAATTACTTTGAACTTACAATAGCTGGCTGCTTACAGTAAAGCCTCACACACTTGACAAACCATCATAAAGTATTTACTTTATATGGTGGCATATATTTGCTCTGTCAACACAAGAGGCTTGGCAAATGACAAATATGGGTTCTGTAAGCGCAGCAGTAATAGGGGTTCAATGGAACTGGGCACAGCGGATACCAGCCATCGCCCAAATAAACGCAGTTTGCACTACATCAAAGCACTTAGTGTATGTAATAAATCTGCTGAAGTATTTGCCATTACGGCTTAAGCACGTTATATGATGAGGATATTGTGTATCAGCTGTTTTATTGCCCTATTTATATTCTAAGTATCAGTGGTGAGATGATTTGTTTTATATTGTTAAACACTTATATGACCTTAGCTCACACAATGTCCAAAAAGTAAAAGCAAAACTATCTTTAATAGAAGATCAATGCAACACAAAAAAGACACCAAGAAGGTTAACGAGTTGATGTGTAATTTTGTTTGTATTTATATGTTACGGCATGAATTATTTGCCGCTACTTTTCTGAGATTGAAGTCCCAGTGCTCTGTGATGACAGGTGGCCCACTGCTAGAGTGTCACCCTTAATAAAGCAAACATTGTTTTAACAACAATAACATTTTCAACTGTGTGTAAGAAATGGTTTTCAGGTTCAAAAGTAGGTTGGGTAGGTTGGTTTGTGATACTACTAAAAAAGAAAAAATCCTTTATGAAGTAGTTAAAAAATTAGCCATGATCAGCAGCCTAAAAATGTCCTTTTGGATTGTTAAAGCTTAAAAGCAGTAGTTCCTGTTAGTTATGCATTAGCTGCTATGAGAAGCAGACACAACAACACATTCGATGTCAGGTTTGCCTCGGTGTCATTTCCTTTAAAAAAAAAAAAATCTTTTAGACAAGAAAAGGCAATGCATTATAAAGATAGGTAAAGTGCATCACTTTACACATTGAGACTAAAGTCATACATAACATAAAATTAACCAAACATCTATCGTAAAACAAATAGACAAGGTCGAGAAAATTAAAGTGCATGATAAATGAAGGTTGACATACATTGGGCATATACAACAACAGCACAATGCCTAGAGGCAAAAATAAACAGCAACTGCAGTCCAGCAGCTAAAACCAGCTTCACCAGGTTTAGATTTTATGACTGACGACCTCAAACGATCTTTGAGTTGAAACTGTCCCTGAGGTATTTTGCTCATAAAACATTTGGTGATTTATATCTTTGGAGTTGTTTTGGTAAAAAAATATTGAGAATTCGGGTTTTCTTGGATTTTAAGCGGCAGCATTCTGAATGGGCCGCACATTAAAAAGTAAGTTAAAGAGTTTAGTGGTAGTGAGTAAGTCAGTAGTAAGTATATATTTATACTTAAGATAAGACAGAATGTACAAATAAATAAAGTGGTCCAAAGATTGACCCTTGTGGAACTCCAGATGTATTTTTCATTTACTCTAATGAATATTGTCCAAGAGGCACACTCATAACTTATTAATTTAAAGAGTTTCAAATAAATAAAAACATTTTAATCAATAGCCATTGCATTTAAAAGTACAGAGTTTCATCACTGCAATCATTTATTTCACCAGCATCCTGACGATAAGGTTGATGCCAGGTTTGAACAGTGTTTTGGCTTTCGTCCTGCACTGGAGGCGTGCTAACATGCTGCCCGCTGGCCTGTGTAACCTTGTGCAACATACTTTTCATGGTAACTCCCCTGACAGACATCCAAACCTAATATAGACGCACCCACACAGGGGACAGGTTATCTCCCTGAACTCAGGGAACTCAAATCACAATGACACGTTATATGAGAAGATACTTTTCGAGGAAATGGGGAATCTGGAGGGTTTCTTTATCTGTCATAAGAGTAGTCAAAATTAGCCGGACATCGCACAAATTAACACATACAGACAAAGCTTTGCATGACAGTTTTGTTGTGTTTCTTCTCTTTTGTGTGCACTTCTCAGGGAAGGAAACTCAACTGACCACCACATGGCCATCACCTACAGCCAGCTGCTGAGCCAGGTCTGCCGCTGTGCTAATGTTCTCAAGAAAATGGGTGAGAAATCTTACATTTAAACAACATTACATCAATATGAATTGCTCAGTTGCAAAAATACAGAGATGACTTGATCCTTATAAATTACCAGTAGCAATTACATTTGAGAAATTAAGAAAGACAAATTCAATATAACAACATGCTTTGTGTGGAGCTGAAACATAAAGCTAAGTATTTTTGCTTTAATGAAGATTTCTACAATACTAAATGACAAAAAAAGACTTTTAATGAAATTCCCTTGGACATTGATTCGTTTCTGACATTTTATAGAAAATAGATTAATAAAATAATCTATACAATATTTGTTAGATTCATAAATAAGGAAAGTTATCATTAGATGGCTCTATGCTGTATTCCCAAATGCACTTATCAGACCAACAGTACAGCATTAGGCGCATATCCAACATGCTGAAACTCCCCATAAAGCTACGTTTCTGTAGCTGGTTTGAGTTGAGAAGTAGCTCAGGTCATGCCCACATGTGATTTGTGTTATTCAAAACCACACATCTGCTTGTTTCCTTTTTCAAGGTGTAAAAAAGGGAGACAGGGTTTCCATCTACCTTCCCATGATCCCCGAGCTCGTCTACACCATGTTGGCCTGTGCAAGGATAGGAGCTGTTCACTCCATAGTGGTAAGTAGTATGATGAATGGCCCTTTCTTAATTTCTTATTTTCTTGTTGTTTCACTTATTTTGGAGGAGCAGACAAATACCTTTTGCTGTATAAAGAGGGAGCTTCATATAATGTCAGCATGTGAACAAAGTATGAAGATTTTATTTCTTTACCTTGTGTGAAAAACCTTCCCTGGTGCTTCAAACATGAGTCAGTCAGCATTTTTTTGAAGCCTATTTGACCCATATCTGTCATGCATAAGTTCCAAATGTTCACCTTACCTCAGTTCAAATGAAGTCGTTTTTTTCAGCATGTATATTAGCAGTGTTTGCCTTGCTCTTATAGTTATCACCTGCACTCAATATTTAGGTCAGACATTTACACATATACACTTGGAAAGTCATCAGAGTCTTTGACATTTTGAAAGGAAGCCAACACTATTTTAGCTTTTCAACCTTCTTAATCCATGCAAAGGTTAGTAGCACTGTTATAAATATCTCCAGGCAGCTCCAAGATGGGTTCCCTTCATGACTGGCAAGGCCTCCTTTTGGCAGACTTAAGTATAAGTGACCTTGTAAGTGCTTGGTCACTGTTTGCACTTTTTCCATATTTGATATGAACACCACTGAGCAACATAAGGGCCTCTGGCATAGTGCCAGTGTCTTCCATTTCTCATGTGTCTGTTAATATAAGTCATAAATTAGCTTGACATGAAATCATGGACAGAGCCAGACATTTAGCTGAGTCCTGAGTCCTCACTGTCCCGATTCATAATGCTGTCATCAACACTGACACTTTACACTGAGTGAACCTGTAACCTTGGCCAGAACAGAAGCGTCTGGTGGAGGATGCAGCAGATGACAATGATATAAAAGATTCATTTTAAATGTCTTGTTCAGTATGTAAGATTGAATAAGGTGACTTCTTTATACATGGTTATGAGCGGGAACAGCCAGCATCCGACTCAGTGATGGAAATTCGGACCCAAGTTGTTATAAACCAGAATATCCTTTTTAAAATGTTGTCTTTTCTTTTTCTTTTCATGTTCAGTTTGCAGGATTCTCCTCTGAGTCTCTGTGTGAGAGGATCATCGATGCTTCCAGCAGCGTGCTGGTGACGGCAGGTAGGAGCAACAGCAGCATGAAGGGATTTGTTGCAGCTGTAAAGATGGTTTCAAGTCAGAGCAAACCGCCTTCATTATGCATCATTTTAAAACGTATCTGTTCCAGTGTGCTCAAACTAAGTAAAATGAGCCTACATTGCAGAGCCTTGTGTTTATATACGTGTTCCCTTCTGGTTTATACAGCTCATCGTCCCTCCCTACTTATCTTTGTAATATACAGATGGTGTTTACAGAGGAGAGAAGCTGATCAACCTGAAACAGATTGCAGACGAGGCGCTGGAGAAGTGTCGGGAAAAGTGAGTCCACTTCTTAGCAACCGCCCTTATTTACACTAGCTGCTGCTAATGGGACACACACACACACACACACACACACACACACACACACACACACACACACACACACACACACACACACATCAGGGAAGTCAAGGTTGTTCGCTCCCATAGCAACAACAAAAGCCAGGGAGGGATGCATTATCAGGGGTATCATTTTTAAATAAAAAATAAAGTGATTTTGTCAACTATACCAAAGACTTCAAATATTTATCTCAAAATCTCACATTTTCCATGTGAAACAGTTTGTCTGACACTATTTACTATAACTTAGGACTTTTATTATATTTACTACCAAGGTCATATATGATGTACTTTTTCAAATAAATCATTCAAAACAGACGACAGGAGCTCTAGTCATTAAATACGTTTTGATGCCCTTTTACTGCCTCAAATTTGTATTTGTATTTTCGTCACAGAGGGTCATCTTCTGTCACTAAATGCCTCGTGATCAAGCACCCGGCACTCAGGACAAAAAGTGGAGCTGCATGCAACAAACTTCAGGTAGATATGTTTTCAAAACCAGTATTCAATCACACTGTATATGTCTAGCATATTCATTTATTCCCCTTACTATTTATTTTATATATCATATTTATTCTATACATTACTGCTTATTCTGTATACTCTGTACATTACTGCTTTTGGCACTTCTAGTTGGATGCTAAACTGCATTGTACCTATCCAATGAAAATGTAGGATTCAGAAAAGGCCTCTAAGGGGCATAGTGAAGTTTAAAATGGACATGGTGTGTTGCTGTTTGTATTTTTTGAATTGTGCACAATAACGCCTGGCGTTTCTTCCATGCTTGGTGCGTTCAGACTCCCTGGGACTCGGACTGTGACGTGTGGTGGGACGAGGCGATGAGAGACTCTCCTGAAGAGTGTGAACCTGAGTGGCTCGAAGCTGAGGACCCGCTGTTTATCCTCTACACCAGCGGCTCCACCGGCAAACCCAAGGTAAGATGCGATTGTATGTATAAACTAGTTTTATATAGTAGAAGAACACAGTAGATTTGCACAGGGAAAACATATTCTGCTGTAATCTCTCAGTGAAAACACATCTTTTGAATCACAGTCTATTTTCTCCTCTGATAAGCCGGTAATGGTGTTAACTGTCCTGGCTTTGATATTTCTTTCTTTGTCTGTGCTGTGCAAAAGGGAGAGTTAATGGGTTTATAATGGGCATAAATGCAAGTTGAAAGCACTGCATTGTGTGTATGGGGGCTACATGTTATTACACAAAACACGGTGCTTAGAGCTTCAGATAGTGAGTGCAATCATCTCTGTCTCTGCCAGCCAGCCACACACACACACACACCCACACCCACACCCACACCCACACACACACACACACACACACACACACACACACACACACACACACCTCAGCATTCCTCACATATCTTACATTAACAGCTCACACATACCTGACTTGTCGCCTGTTGCATGGAAAAACATGTACACCCATATAAAAACACATAACATGGCTTTGTCTTGACTAAGTCTGCTGACTCTGCATTCAAATCATAAACCAACATGAATGTTCCACCGTTTTTTATTACCTTAGAATCCGCCCCAACGACCCCCTCATGGTCCACGGACTACGGATTGTGATCCACTGGACTCAATTATCCCACAATAGTGTTGCTATTTGTCTGTTGCACTGTGCATCAGTAAAACACCAAGAACCCCGCCCTGAAACGTTGGCAAGGTTGGTAAATAACTCATGGCGAAACCGTTTTGTGTCTCCGGGTGTAGACAGAGATAACACTAATAAATGAGCAGGGATGATATAACGATCTATAATTAGGGCGACTTAAAATAAGTGACTGGTGTGGTGTTTTTGTCTCTCACTCCCTCTCTCTCTCACGCTCTGCAGAGAAACACACAAAGGACTGATGATTGTGGTGTAAAGGCCTTGCGGGCTAGCAGGAATGCAATTTGACCCAGGGGCACCTTTTCTTCCACTTTTTCTAATTATTTCTATAGTGAAGTTTTTCTCTTTCCTTCATGCAATATTTCATGTGCCAGAAGATTAATTATTGCGCCCGTAGCTACCTCAGACACGCAACATTTAATCTGTCTATTCACCTACTCTGCCCTCCATCTACTCTGTCCCTCAAATGACTGGGTCAGATTATGGTGATTAGTCACTGTGTAACATCAAGCCAGTCATTTATATAACCCTGTATAACTCTTTCTGCAAGGTCATCTACTAGATTAGACCAGCGAACATGATAGGATAACTCAGTGGATTAAGTTACTTGGGATGCTAGCAGAGACATCGCACGATCAAGCTGATTTGACATTTTGGTTGATTTCAGCAAAAATCAAAACTCTGATTTAGGAAGCTAACACTAGTTATTTGCTCATGAAGAAAACAACAGTAGAATTGTGTGAATGACTTGACAAATGACAAATAGCAGATTGCATTGTAACAAATTAAGCATACAGAGCTTTTATTTTGAAAGTTCCAGGCAATGCCAGCTGAATGCCACTGGTCGACTGTGCTGCATGCTAACATGCTAACATGCTACCATCTAGTTAACATGTTACATGTCAAATCACAGTAGATACGGCACTTGTGTTAACTTTTAGGGTTTCCTTTTGTATTTTACGAACCGGCCGGGACACCTTTACAATACCCTTTAAGAATTAAGCTTTTGCATTCAGGGGAAAATAGGTAAACTGCTGTTTTCGAATGCCATGTATTTAAATCGGTAGGCTTGAAAATGATCATCGACAAACTAAATTGATAGCGAGATGCATCGGGAGCTGGATGATCTTTTATTGTAAGCATACAAACAAAACTGTTATATCTAACATTGGAAAGTTTATTGGAGGAAACTGAGTAGAGTGAGAGTTACTGTAACAGTGAGCTGACGCTTTCAACTACATAAACTGAATGAATAGAATTAATTTTCCTGTTGGATTGAACTAATCTCCTTTAGTAAAGCCAAGAAGGCCTCCAAAGAAGGATAACAATTCTGCAGAGCTGCCAGCCTGTACTGTTTTCCAAACCATATTGGTGTCACAGCTAGTGTTGCATGCACAGCTATAGTCAAACAAGTAAATAAACACAAATAAAGATTAACATGACTGGAAAAGCGCTTTTCCTCTCAGACCCTGCTGTCCTGTGGCCCGACGAGACTGATGTGGTTAGAAGAGAAAAGACACTGAGAGACATCTGCACTCAAGCAGGGGTTGCTCTTATAATGACCTTCCCATACAATGCCCACTCATTTCTGACTAAAACTTGATCCCTGAAAGTGAAATACATTACATGTACCATAAAATAATTTAAACCAGTTTCTTTCTTAGAATTCGGTAGAATGAGAATCAGAATAACACCAATTGCTTAACGAGAACTAAGAAATGTACACTCATATCAGAGTTGTATTTATCACCAAACAACTGTTTATACTATTGTAAATTAAATTAAATGTACCTGTGTACATTTATTTTCTCCTGAGTTTGGTATCAGGTATTTAATTTACACAGTTTTTGTCTGTTATATCATCCCTAATCTGAGACTAGTTATCATCCTAAACTGTAACCTTGTTGTACAAAATACCAGCTTTTCAGGAGCCTGTGCAACTGAAAATGAAAGCATCAGATGAAAATAAATATAGTTGTATTAGTTTATTGACAGTCCTTCCTTCTGGTATGTTTTCAACAAGTGTCATTATGCTTTAACAGCTTCCTCTGTGTACACTTAAAGCTCAGAAAGCTTGTGGTTATGCAACACATCATCCTCCTAACCAAAAACAAGGACACAACACGCAGACGGTGCTCATTGCCTCCTCCTTGTTCCACTCCCTCTCTTAATCCCTTTATCATCATCTCCCTAATCTCTCTCCTACTCTTACCTCACTTTCAGCTGCAAAGTCAATAGGTGAGGCTCTTAGTCCAGACAACTTTTGAGGGGCCTGCAGTCAAATATACCTAGAGAATTGAAACTGCATACTGAGGAACATTATGTGAACTCGTTGCTCTTTCTCAATTAGCTTCTAATTCTGAGGGATACAAGGAGATGCTATTTTCTTTCTTGCAAAGCTAGATTGGGTAAAGTTAATTGAAATGTCACGCTTTTTTTAATGTGCCTTTTTCACTGGTTTGAAGAACACCAGAGTAAGTTGTTAAAGGTGATGTGATTGGTTAATTATTTCAAAGGTATGCCCTAGTATTATTTATTAAATGTTTATTTGCATAGGGATTGACATGAAAACGAATGCCAAGCATCACAGCATGTTTTAGCCTGAGCTCATTCAATACAATACATAGCACTGAACGAAAGTACACAAGAGAACAAAACACAACAACTCAACCAACTCAACAAGAACATTTAAGGACAAAAACAATGAGCGACTGGTGCCAGGAGCTCAGAGACAAAAGAGAAAGCAGCTCTGCATGCTCTCAACACAAGACCTTGTAAGGTAGAAGTTTTGTATCCTCTCTAGGTTGTGTAAATATGGGCTCCTTCACCAAACTATGTCATCTGCTCACACACACACGCACATACACACACTCTCTCCCTTTCCCTGACCTCAGTGTTATGGGGTTACACACACACAATGGTTCTAGTCAGGTCGAGCCAACCAGCTCTCCAGCTAATTCCAGTAGCTACAGTCAGTCTCCAGCGTGCATGGAGCATTAACCACATGGAGGGGGGGGGGGGGGGGGTTGATATGTGTTATCCCAAAAGTTGGACTCCTGCCCACAGAGTTGGAGGGAGATTTGTTTTCTGGCTGGCTAGAAACATGAATCATTCTGCAGATCTGTTTTAGAGAGCATGCATGAAGGTATATAACGTTTTGATGGACAGAAATGTCACAAAATGAAACCTATTGAGATGACAATAGATGTATCAATAGAACTGGAAATTGGCACAAAGTAATACAAAAATCCAAAATGCAACTTGGAACAAAGTCCATCCCCTGACTCGGCAGTTCCCTCAGCGGGGGAATTGTTCACACCTCTTACATGTTACTCTTTTGTTCACACTTACAGCTCTCACAGCCTTGTTTCCATTCCACACGCCTTTGACATGTCTGCTGAATGTGTAAATAAGAAATTGTCTGCTAAAAGGTTTGACAAATCAACATAACGGATGTTGAAATGTCATTGTTGACTTGTTGAAATCTTGCTTATAGGTCCGTTCCCATAATAGATGCTGACCTGTTAGTGTTGTGATATTAATGCTCTACAATGGCTGTTACCTGAACATAACATCTGCTAATATACAACAAATTGCTATGAAATTCAAAGATGTTGCACTCTGCTTTACTGTGTGCAATCTACTTAATAATTCATCACTCCTCTCCTCTCCTCAATCCTCTCTCCGAATGTTAAGGTCAGATTGATTAGCAGTCAATTAACCGGACCCTAAAAGACTCCATCATTGGATAAACTCTCCACATCAGCGTAAATCTCATCAAGACACCAAATTCACTGCTCTGTTTATTTATTTTAGTGGACTAATCTGTAGCATTTGTACCTCTCAGTGAATCTGAAGTCTACTAAGACGGGCTCAGACATATCATGATCTAAAAAAAGAGTAGGTGAGGGCAGCTTAAATCGGTGCTAAAAATAGAACAAAAACATTCAACAACAGGTCTGATACCACAACAGGAGACAAGCCTGATGAAAAGAAAGCCTTCCTTGATTTTTTTTTTATGGGATTGTTTTTATGAATAACACCAGTATCTCTTTTAGGCCCATTGAGACTTTTGTTGCTGTAACATATTGGACGTTTCTTTAACACACACCGATCATATTGTCGTTTGTTTATCTAAAACTGAAATTGAAACAGAACATTTGAATTTAAAAGCCTTTCTCCCTGTGACGGCTCATCCTGGGTGAGCCAGTCGTGACTCACGGTGGTCACAGAGCATCCTGCCACTCATGTCGCCGTGGTTATGTAAACGAGGAGATCTCAATACGCCACTGAGGGGGGAGAAGAGATTTGGAGAGAAAGGAAAAGAAAGAGAGAGGGGGAATGCATGGGAAGTGACTTTGAATTATAAACAAGGTTACGGCTGTTTCAGCCTTTTATCGCTCTCTCTCTCTCTCTCTCTCCCCCTTCTCACTCTCATGTTCTTCCCCTTCTTCTCTCCCTCCTCTGCTCCTTTTCACTTTTCACACCCTCTCCATCTCCCCTAAGGCCTTCAGTGTACTCCAGACGAAATTGGACTTGGCAAGGTGCAAATGACAGTACGCACACTGTGACTGGAGGAGTGTGTGTGTGCGCGCATGTGTGTGTGTGTGTGTGTGTGTGTGTGTGTGTGTGTGTGTGTGTGTGTGTGTGTGTGTGTGTGTGTGTGTGTGTGTGTGTGCACATTCTAGCTAATCTCCAGGCAGATCCAGTTGAAGTCCATCTGAACAAAGTGAACGGGAGGTGGGTAACATCGAGCTGCCAAGGTGTCCTCTTAAATGCCAGGACAACGTCGTCAGGACAACATGACTCCTTGTTCCCGCTCACAAACTATGATAAAAACTACAAGCACTATTTACAGGGATGGAATGATAGAAATGTACTTTGGTTGTGCCTTCTCCAGCAGTTACTGGTAGCGGCTTCTCCACTGTGAGGATCCTTTTTTAAATAATCATATTTACAAAATACCCAGCTTTTTTACTGTTTGACAAAACAAGAAATGTAAAGATGTCCCTTGGACATAAGGAAATTGTGATAGGCATTTGACACTATTTTTGGAACGTTAACACCAAAATCTTTAACAACTACAGCTCAGGTTCATATAAGCTGGCTTATTCTGCAATTCTCATTTTAGCAATAAGGGAATAGAGTATTGCTTTTTTTTTTTATCCTGGTGGAATGTCAGGAAGTAATAAAAGTTATGAGAAAATACCATAGACTGTGTACATACCGCCCAAGCCTGCTGCTAAGTAACAATGAAATGCTCTGCTTTGTTTTGGGTAGTCAGAGGTAAGGTTTGATAACAGGATCAAAAGCGAGAACAGTAGCAGGTGACCAGAGAGATTTTTCTTCTGGCATTTACTGCTTTACTCTGTTTTTAAAGTGGTGCACCTGTGTTTTTATGTAAATACAGAGTGTTTCTTGTGAATCTGTGCGTATGGACTCACCTATTTGCAGCAGGACAGGTGTCACCAGTGCCGTCTCCATAGCATAGCAGAACTCCCGGCCGAACATCACAGCACCGTGCATCACCCATCTCTTTAAGGGTATGCGTGCGACCGATGTCTCGCTCGCTGACTCCTCCCCTCCTCGACCTCCCGATCCATCCGCCCCTGTTCCTCCTTTCTCCTCGTCCGCACCTGATGCCTTGGAGTTTTTGGCATTTGCGCCGCCCACCAGAGATTCGACCTGCGTAGCGTCAGCCTCTGTGTTCTGGGGAGGCATGGTGGAGGGCATGCACGCAACAAGGGAAGACGTGCACCCACTCTAACACGTTGACAAATCTGAGAACAATTACCTATAGCTACCAAAAAGCAATACTGTTTCCTCAAACTAGGAATTTCAAGTCACTTGATACTTTAAAGCTAGCAGTGACTTAATTACAATCTTTACAAGCTACAAACTGCAGCATGTGCTCGTAACTTGCTGGTTGTATTGGCCTGGTAGTTACATCTATCACTGCTTTAAACACTGGAATAAAAAAAAAAAAAACCTGTAACAGATAGGTGCTCCCGTATGCCAAGGTAACTTTTAAATGTAAATGCATATGGCGATCGGCCAAAAAAACTGAAACAGGCTTTTGCGCGTATTACTATGCAGTACAATAAAGGAAAACAACAGATCTAGGCTGGCTCTATGGAAGTTTACACTTTTGTCAGGCAATCAGGTTGGGTCCTCCTTCTACAAGATTGGAGCCTCCCAAAAAACTGCAGCTTCACAATTCAACGTGGCTAATTGTCGCTGCTCAGGCCATTCTTGTATTGTCAAAATGGGCTGGAAAAAGTATATAACAAATCTCAGCTTTCAAAAAAGGATTCCAGAAAAAAATAAAAGGAAGCAATTGAATTGAATTCTTCACAGGAGCAGAGCTGCTGCGCGCTACATTTACCAGAGGGCAATTTGATTTTTTCTCTTCGGCATTTTTTTTTTGGTGCGTTGGTCGTGGGGTGGTGGGGTAGTTCTGCCGTGCCAACTGAGTGGGATGCCTGGTGT